TGAGAGAGCTGCTGTCTGCACTCACCTGCTCCAGGTCCCGGACCATTTCTTCCTGGTTGCAGTTAAAAATTCTGCTGAACAGCTTTACAATCTGCTTATCATTCAAGTTGTAAACTATTTTAATGACACCTGGTAACAGCATCTTAATGGTCAGGTATACATCACCATGAAAACCATCTGAAAAAAAAAAAAAAAGCACATTATAACCCAGAAAAACCATCTAAAAAAAAAAAAAAAAAAAGCACATTATATCAGTGAGGATTTATTTTCATGTGCAGGCTCTGGTTGGTTGTGTTCATTTGCATAATCCTGGGGAAAAAACCCACAATTGGAGCTTGGAATTTGTAGGGAAAATAGCCAAAATTTGCCTCTAAATTTGGCATCTACTGAGAAATTTTTGTCTGAATATGGTATTTGTAGAGTTCAAAAATTCAGAAATCAATCAGAAATCACCACAGCACAAGGCTGGAACCACACAACAATCAGATTTGAATTTCCCCTTTCCTTTTGAGACCAGCCTTTAAAGCTGATCCTGAGGGAGCAGAGAATTCCCAGCTGGAGCCATACCTCCTGCAGATCCCTTCCTGAGGAAGTCCTGGATGATCTGAGTTTTCACGTTGTAGCTTGGCTTGTCGGCCACCATGGCGCAGAGCTTGCGGAACTCCCGCAGCAGGCAGTCCTTGTGCTTGGGATCACACCTGGCTGCAGACAGGCTGGGCCTCTGCGCAGGGGCCTCTTCTGAGTTCTTCGGCTTGGCTGCATCAGACACATCACAAGTTGTTTTTGTAACCACATGGAGCAAATGTTGAAGTTACCTCTGCCTGACAAGGTGGGAACGATCCCAGCGTGCTGGCAAAGTTTCAGAGCTAAAATTTAGGACTTTTATAAAAACCTTCCAACTATTTTTACTCTTCACATCACAACAGAATTTCCTAGATCTTAATTCTACCAGAAAAATATGACTACACCATAGTGAAAATGAATTTCTCCTCCTAGATGCCTCTGCTTTATCAATTTTTTTTCTACTTTATAGGCTTTTGCCCTTGAAAGCAAGACATTTGCCTAAGGTAATTTCTAAAATCCCCTTTTGTCTCCTAACACCAATCCCCTACAGGAGCTGATGTCTTTGGCTGTGTTGTGGCTCTGGGCAGTCTGGAGCTCCAGGTGGGTGTCAGGTCAGTCAGAGCTCACAGATGGACTGTCCTGCAGGCAGCTGCTCCTCAGGACAAGTTTTCCTCTCCATGAACACAACTGAGAATCCCTCAGCAGTTTTTTCCAGATTTTGAGCTCCACATGGGATAACTTTAGCCTACACCTTCAGTTTGGCTGGAATGAGCCAATGGATGTAGGGATGGAATCAGCCTGACAATGTGGATCACGGCAGAACCTCTGTTTTCTTGGGAAAACTGGAAATCCAAACATCTTTCAAGGTGTTCTTTCAAGACTGACAGCCTAAGGAAAGCACTGACAGCTTCTGACAAACCAGAATTAAAAACCCCTAAATCATCTACAGATAAAAACCTACTGATCTGAGCCAAGCTAAAACACCTCTTGATGTTGAGATTAAAACAAAATGATTTCCCAGAACCAGTTTCTTAATTCTTACCAGAGAATCCAGAGAACTTCTTTGGTGGATCTTTTGTGGTCAGCTGTCCTGTGGGAGTGAGTTTTGCCTGCACTATCACCTTTTTCTTCGGGGTACCTCCAGTCTTGGAATTGGCTTCTGGAAAGCAGAAAGGTTCAAAGAGACAGTCAGGAATAATCTCATACATCCCTCACCATCGTATGTAGCTCACAAAGCAAAAAGCCTTAAAAGAAGTGGGAATTGGACAAGAAAAAAAACCCCAGATGTTTTTCAGGTAACAATTTAGTAAAGATCACAGAAAAAGGTGGAAATGGAAAATAACTGATGCTTCCTCATGGGTTTTATTTGCCCTTGAGTTAAATCATCTAGGCCTTGTCCACAATCAGTTGTGACAAATGAATCAAGGAGTGTCACCGTAGAAGTGACCATTTCTTCCCTTTCCTGCAGGGCTGAGACAGGGATTGGAGCAGCACCACACACTTTGTCCCTAAGCCACACAAATAAATCCATGAGGATTTCATGACAAAGGCAAAGCTGGGTGACAACCTCTGGCATAACTTGAAAATAAGGAGAAAAGTGACCCTGCCTCGTGCCTCACCTGAGATGTACTTGTTGATTGTTTCTTTCTCCTCATCCTGCAGCTCTTCCCACCCCTCCAAGTCTGTGATGTCTTCGATTTTCTTGGTGGTGGCCCGGGCCTTGTCCAGCTTCTCAAAGATGCACTTGACATGGTACCACTCCTTCATGTCCCCTCCGGACTCGGTGAAAGGATTGGGAACAATCTTCCCAATGCGGACCATCCCCTTCACGATCTTCTCCTTGCACTTCTTGCATCCCGCGGTGCCTCGCTTGGCATAGTCCACGCAGTACCGCTGCTCCGCCATGTCCCCGGCAGCCGCGCAGGCCGAGCGCAGCCAGCCGCCCACCAGCAGGGACAGGGGAAACGCGGCAGCACGGCGCTGCTGCGGGGATGGCACACGGACGGGCTGCAACAGCAGCTGGCACCAGCACCCGGGGCTGACTCCGGCAGAGCGGGAGAACAGCCTGGCCAAGGGGAGCAGCGGGTGAGAGCAGAAGAGCGCCGTGCCCCTGCCGAGAGCGCGGGCAGCGTGTGACAGCGTCCTGCCGCCCGTGGGCATCCAGTCCGTGCTGAGCGTGCTGCGAGCGACACAGGGACACTGAGCACCCTCTGCCCGCCGGGACACCCTGGTGGCCCCAGTCCCCAGCCCGGCACCCGCGCCGCAGCGGCCTCACCGCCCCCGCTCCGCTGCCCCGCACCCCGAGCCCTCACGGCCCCTCCTCGCTCCCAGGCCCTCTCCCCAGCCTCGCCCCGAGGCCGCTTTCCCGCGCTGCCCGCCCCGGCCCAACCACAGGCTCCCGCCGCCGCTGCAGGCCCCAGGCCGCCCCCTCCGCCGCTCACCGAGCTCCTCACGGTGCCGCCATCCCGGCCACTGCCCCGTCCGGACCACCGGGACCCCTCCAGCCCCTCAGGCCCGGGCCGCCGCCTCAGCCGCCGCCGGGACACGAGCGCGCCAGCCCGGCTTCCGTAGAGCCACGCGCGCGCGCGCGCGGCGCACTGGGCCCCGCCCCTTCCTGCCCGAACAGCTGCGGAGGGGGCGGGCGGGCGCAGGCCACGCCCCCTAGGGTCGTCTAGCCCCACCCCCCAGCACGCGCCGGGAGCGTTTTCCCGCCTCGTGCGCGGCTGAGGCGGCACCGGGAGCGCGCCCGGGGCCAGGGAGGGTCCGTACCTGAGGCGGCACCGGATCCGTGCCTGAGGCCAGGGAGGGTCCGTGCCTGAGGCGGCACCGGATCCGTGCCCTGAGGTGGCACCGGGACGGCAGCTGGGGCGAGGGAGGGTCCGTGCCCTGAGACGGCACCGGGTTCGTGCCTTGGCGCGGGACCGGGACCAGAGGTGGCACCGGGTCCTCGCCCTGGGACAATGGAAAGTTCCTCCTCCATGAGCCGATGGAGGGACTGTGCCCTGCGGGACAGCGCCTGTTCTGTGCCATGGGGCCATGGGGGTTCTGCACCCTGAGGCCATGGAGGGTCTCTGCCCTCAGGCAGCCCCCGGTCTGTGTCCTGAGGCGATGGCTGGTCCCCACCGCAGGGGTGGCTCCACTGCAGCAGCGTGCCCTGCCCTGAGGTGATGATGTATTCCCGACCTCCCCAAGTTGGCTTTTCCAGAGCACTGCACAAGCTGAGGCAGGTGTGAGGGGTGCCCTGCTCGTGGCTGAACCACACTGGCTCACCAGGAGTGCTGTGCTGCGTTAACACAGCTTTGAGGTGCTGTTGGATCACCTGCCCGTAGAAACGGTCCCTCCAAGAGCTGTAACACTGTTTGTGCACTGAGCCGCTGCCTTATCCCCAGCCTCATGAAGCTGCCCCTTCAGGATTGTGCCATGTTGGTGCAGGTTTGAGATGCAGCCATGTCACCTGGGCCCTCAGTACCTGCACAGGCCTGAAGTGCTGCCCTATAACCTGCCGAAATTGTCCTTTGCACTGTGTTTGTGTGGGTTTGAGGTGCTGCTGTACCCCCCAGGCTCCTGAGGACAGCCCTTCATCCCAGTACAGGTAACACACACCTGCAGTCCAGCTGCTGGCTCTCTGCTGGTGGCAGCCACCCCTGTTCCTCTGATGGAAATGCTGTTGTGCTGTGCCAGGAGGCTGCTGAGGAGGCTGGAATGGATGCAGTACACAGCTCCACTGGATTGCTGCCTTCAGCCATGGAAAGGATGCTGTGTGGGTTGACATGGCCAAGTCTCTGACCTGCTTTGCTGTATCTCAAAGGCAGAGTATGAGAAATAAGGTACAGAATTTGCTTCCCCAGCCACATATCTGTCTTTTTGTTGGCCTCCAGCTGGTTGCAAAGCAAGCTACAGGCAGTCTTCTCTTCTTCCCAGCACATCAAACAAACCACACTGTTTGGAGCTGGGAGTGTAACAATTGTAGCTGGTCACAAAACTGGGATGAAATGTGACACAGGCATTTCTGATCACTGGGATCTGGCTGTGAACACAGAGTCTGCATTCATTTGCAATATTTTACACTGCAATGTTTACTCACAGAAAGGCATTAATTCAATCCATGATCTCAGAATGGAAATGCACCTTCCTGTCCCTCATGGCCCAGGAGTGAAGGAAACCCCAAAACCAAAGAGAGAAACAATCTCCCCCAGCCAAATCCAACTGGGAGCTTTGAGTCACAGAAGAGGAATTGCAGAAGGATTCAGAGAGTTTTTCCTGCTATGAACTTTATGTGGAAGGCACCCAGACCACCACCATGCTCCAGATTTTTGGCTGAGTGCATTCAGCTCCAAAACCATGCATTTGGCCAACTTAGATTAAAATTTTAATGTGTGAGTTTAATGTGATTTGATTTTTAGTAGTTCAGATCGCTTTGAGAAATGATTTACAGAACCAGCAGTGACTGGGTGCAAGAGTTTGTATGAACACTGGGATTTTAGAGGGGAAGAGAACAAAACCCAGGTAGAGATGAGGTGTTCAGGTGCTGTGATGTGCAGCGTTCAAGAGCTTGCTGGGAGCACAGAGTTCATGGCACCATGGTGAGATTCACTGTGAGCCTGGTAAAAGGAATGGAAAGGCAAAGGCTGACACTGCAGCACATCATGATCAGGTTTAAATAATATATAATAAATTATAATATATAATAAATAAGGCATCTGAGCAACCTGGCAGTGGTGGGATCTGCTGTCCTAACTGTCTAAAAGTCAGCTAAATGAGCTAAACTCATTTTAGCAAATGACTAAAGGCAGAGCCTTCAGACTAAAGGCTGCCTTCAGTCAGCAGAGAAACATTTCAGAGGCCTCAGTGAGGGTGAGATGAATTGCTCCTGGCTCTTTTCAGCCTGCAGGGGTTTGGATGGCAGCAGGGACAGGAGGGGAGTCGGAGGCTGCCCCTCTGCAGAGTGCTGCAGGGACTGGAGATTGATGGCCTGGCAGTGAGAGATGCAGCGAGCACAGGCAGGTGGCAGAAGGCTGCCACGAGAAACTGGGAGTTTTAGATAAATTTCCTCTCTGAGAAACACACACAACTGCTGTTTGGTTGTTTTGGAGAGGCCTGGGAACGACAGCAGCAAAGCTGGTGCACTCTTAATGCCAGCTCTCCTCCTCTTGAGCAGAAGGTGAAGACTCTGCAGCCCAGAGCATTAATTCTGCTGATTTTCTACTGTGGCTCTAAAGGAATTGGTGGAAAGCTGAAACTTGCTTCTTCATAGAATCACAGAATGGTTTGGGTTGGAGAGGACCTTAAAGCTCACCCAGTTCTACCCCCTTCCACTATCCCAGGCTGCTCCAAGCCCTGTCCAACCCAGCCTGGAATGCTTCCAGGGATGGGGCAGCCACAGCTTCTGTGGGCACCCTGTGCCAGGGCCTCCCCACCCTCACAGGGAACAATTTCTTCCAATATCTGCTGTAAATCTACCCTCTTTCAGTTTGATCTTGTAGTCTTTTTTTGTGGCTAACAGCTCTGAGATGGCATTAAGAAGTGCTAAGAAAGTTTCAAGTGGTCTATCAGGCCCTGATTTTGGTCACTGCTCCTAAATGTTCCCTGCAAGCACTTTCTTCCCCTGAAATTGCAATGTGAATCCACTGTTCTTATTGTGGGTGGGAAGGTTTGCAAGGGGAATAATTAAAATTACTTTGGGTTTTAGAGTCTTGTTGAAATAAACTCCTCCAGCTCCCCCTTTGGCCGGATGTACCTTCAAACAGCTGTGAGTAGAACAATAAATCCAGTTAATATATCCACAAAACCACAGGACACTGAGTTCACTGAGGGAAAACCAGGAGACAAATCCCTGCTGCTTAGCAAAGAATCAGGGAGAAATCAGAGCTGGAGTCTCCCTAGGTAGCAAATACTGGAATTGCTGAGCTGAGCCTCTTAACATAATGTGCTCTCATTGTAAAAGGCAGCAGTGACAGAGCAGCAGAGAGGCCTCCAGGAAAGCAGAACTCTGTTTAAAGTACTTCATTCCACTAATACCAAGAAGATAATGCCCAAAAAGTCAGATTTAAATGTTTTAGTCTGTCCTTGCTTAAGCCAAGTGGCCATCAGGAGTTCTGTCAGGAATTAAGATACATGTGAAAGCAAAATAATGGTCTCAAGTTTTGCTTTTAGGGTTTTTCCTCAGTGTTAAGAAGCAAAAAACCAAATGTAGCTTCATCTTAAACTAGGGTTGAAAATAGTTCATAAAAAAAGGTTCACCTTGTCCACATCTTTCAGGGATATCTTAAATTAATGGAGTTTGAACTAAAATTAAAGTTTCCTTGCAAGACTTCTGTCAGAGTTATATTCCAATGGATCCAATCTTCTTGGTATTGAGAAAATGTCTGGAATCTCACTAAAATCAAATAAAAGGAGGGAGATATTTAGAATTTTAATAACCCCAATGAACAAATATATCTCCCTCTCTGGCTGCTAAAGAAGATACTGAATCTGTACATGTGGTTTTATTAAAATACAAGCGATAAGAGAAATGGAAAAGATTATAAGAAACAGACATATAGACACCAAATACATTTGGCAAAAAGGGAAGGCATGCCAGTTAAATAACAGATCAAGAAGCCATGTAAAATGGATTTGCAGAGCTCAGTATTAGTCACTTATTTGCATTTATGTTCATTGGTAAGTCTGACTTTAGGAAGGGCTTGGAAAGGAAAAGCTCCATGGTCCGGTCTGAAGGGATTTGCATTGTTTTCCTTGGAGAAGTGGCTTGCAAGGCTTCCTTCTGCCTTGTGTGGGGGTGAAAAGTGGAAGCCGGGTATAACAGGAGTGAAATCTCTCACAAGCCTCGTTCTGCTCCCTCAGTTTGGTGGGGAAAGGGGAGAATATAATCTGTTGTCAGTTTAAAAAATAATTTGCTGTTCAGGTCCCAGCTCTGGGAACAGTAAGAGGGACTGGATGTGATCTAAGGTGTAACAGTGAAAATTTGAAGAATTTCAGAGGAACAGCTGTTCCCTGCTGCAGGACACGGACTAGGTGTTCCCGAAGAGATTCACCTTTCCTTCCCTCCTGTTCTGTTCTGCAGGCCCTGCCGTGATTCAGCGCCTGTGACACAGAGCCACGAAGCTCCTCTGCATCCCTGCTCCCACTGCAGTGACATCCCTGCCTAGGGCAGTGACAAAAAGATGACAATGAATGTGGTGTTATCCTAAAATTGGTCTGTGCAGCCCTCTGTGGAGGAGACAGTTTTGGAATGTGAACTTTGTCCTTTAATCCAAACATAGCAAAAGTCTGTCTCTGCCCTCCCTCTCACCACATCTCAGCTGTCTTTTTGAGGGAAATTTTTGACATTTGGTACATGGACATTAGGAATATCAGAGTGCAGAAAAACAAATGGGAAATTTGTCATTTCTAGTGCAGATTGCCCAAGGAGTCATTTAACAGCCACCAAAATAAAAATGTGTCAGATATTTCCAAAGGCACTGAGGAGATGCTCATGCTCATTTGCTATTAATACTAATGAGAAGTGAGTGTCCAAATCACTTGGACAGGTTTTGGAAAATCTCAGCTAGATACATGTCTTCCTGGAGGAAATTACATTTGACAGGAGGCTTCTGATGCAGGGAGAGGGAGGGCATTGGAGGCCACGCTCTGAATTCATTCTATTTCAGTTCAGAAATCTGCCAAACGTGTGTTAGACACAGAGCTGGTTCCTCCACCTCTATTCTGCTGGCACCTAATAGAATATCCTTTATTTTTCTGCTTGCTGCATATGCTGTTAAATTAGATAGAGGTATTTGCAAGGTGAATGACAAGTGTAATTGGCTATAAATGCTCCATTTAGAGAGATTGCAAACTATGTTTAAGTTACACCCAAGTGCACCTGTACTTGAGATGCAAAGTCATTCAGCTCCCACAGCACCTTCATTATAACCATACTTCATCCTCCCACACAAATAGGTTCTCAGGAAAATAATTTCTCCCCAAATGTACATCTGCTGCGAATTATCCTGGCATCATTACACATGCCAGGGTAGTGAACACAAATCTCATCCTCTGGGGTGGTGCTGATTGAAAGATGACACCTAATTTTGGGAAACAAAGGAAATTTAAAATAAAAGCTTGGCAGATATTTTTTGGGGGAGTTTGTTTCAGAGCATTTCCCAAATTAATTTGTCATTTCTGCTTGCCGGGAGAGGACTTTTTTCAAAATTTTAATTGAAAATTTTAACTGTGAATACTTTAGAATGAAATTGAAACCACAGTTGATTTTTTTTAAGTGACCTTGTCAGGCAATGACTGTTGCTAAAACCAGAGACCAATTCTGAAATTATTTTGGATGTTTTTGAGACATCCAAAATAATTTCAGAAAATCACCAATGTCTTCAAGACAGACTGTAAAAGGGTTTGTATTTTTTTTTTTTTGGAAAGTCTTCAAGGCCATTAAAAGGCTATTTTTAAACAGCATTTTATTAAAACACTTTCAGTCCTGCAGAGGAACACTTGTGACTAGGAAGAAAATGATGCAATTAACTGGTACCTACCTTGCATTGTCCCCTCGGATCTGGGCTTGCTTGTGGGGTCCAAATCTCTGTTTATTCTCTTAACAGCCAGGAGCCTTGCAGGCTTCAAATTCCCAGTTTCTCTTCTCTGTTTATTCCTTGTTCTAAGTGGCAGCTGGGTATGACTGGAGAACAGACAGGGCCGAGCAGCTTTAACTTTTTTTTGTGTCCCAGAGAATCTCTGTTCTTCAGTACAAAGCAGTCCCAGGCTGCTGTGCACTTTCCCCAGGTTCTTTCAAGCCACATCTGTCATATCTGCACTCCACAGCTGCTCTGGCCTGGTGTCACACATCCAAAGTGAAATGAAAGAAACTCCTCAACAAATCCAATATCGGTTGTGCCCTGCTGCCTGCGGTGTGGGGCTGAGCTGTGCCTGATTGCAGATCTAATCTCACCCCAATACCTGAGGAGCAATAATGACACTGCTCCATTTGCTCCTGCCCAGGGAAGCTGAGGGATCTTTTTAGCTGAATGAAATATTAACTAAATTAAATATTAGCACTTCTTGGGCTTTCCACAGCCCAAGACCATGTTTTGGAAGGCAAATGGAAATGCAGTTACATGGTGACTTCTGCAGACCCCAGCTCTTGGCCTGGGCTCTTCAGCACATTCAGGAGTTGTCATCTCTGGGTTTTAACAGAGCTCAGGAGGCACAGAAAAACCTCTGCTTGGAGGGAAATTCTGCTTTTTAATGTCACAGGACCTTTCTTACTTTAGTGCTAAACTGTGTTATTTCTCTTTGAATCTTCCCTGAAGTAGTTCTGTGATGTTCCCCATTGCTGTGCTGAGGGCTGGATGTGTAATTAGTGACTTGTATGACTCCCAAAAGCTGCAGACTAAACCTTAATCCAACCTTCACGTTGATCACCCTGCCACATCACTTGAAAGCACTTATGATCAAGGAACTGCAATCCTCTGAGCCAATTCCACATTGGAGATGACTTTTATTGGGGAGACTGGATGTTAAAAAAAAATTAAACCGGTCCTCATTAGAAACTGGAGACGTAAAAGGCTCCGGAGCCCGCCTGTGAGTGCCACTGCAGAGCTGTTTATGCAGCTATTTATGCAGGGAATAGCTCCCCTGGGATGGGCTATTTGCTGTTGCTTCTGCTCAAAGACATGCCAGTGCTGGAACCAGGGCTTTGGGTTCCTGCAGGAGCCAGTCCTAATGATGGCAAAGTGCTGCCTTTCCCTCTCTGGAGGGTGCAGGGGTTGTCACATCGCCTCTGCCTCACCCGTGTCGCCCTGGGGCATTGGAAATGGGATATAAACAAAGCCAAAGTGAATGCAGAACCTCTGACCTATCTGCAAATGTTTCTTCTGGGGCTATTTGTTTCTGTAATTCCTCAGAGCACTTGGGGGAGGCCGATTTATTGCTGCCTGGGTTATCTTAGCCCTGTCCTTTCAGTGAAATGGAGCTCCTTTTTCTTTCTGAAGGGTTTTGGGGATCAGCTTCTGTGTGTCTCCAGCCAAATCACCTCACATTCACTCCATTGCTGTCAGGACCACCAGGTCCTTCCCTGCAGGGGGAAAAATCAGTGCCCAGCCTGTCCCTGTCCACCAGGTGCAGCTGTTCCAAGCAGAGGGGCTTTGCTGAACTCAGGAGGTTCCTGCTGGCCCCTTTCTCCAGAGAATTGAGGCCCCTTGGCAAAACCCAGCCTAGCCTTCCCTTCCCTTCCCTTCTTCTCGTTGCAATGCACATGAATGAAAACAGCAGCCCACTGAAACAAATACATTTAAAACACCTTTTTAAAGAGCTTTTGTGCCTTGGTTGGCATCTGCTGTTGGTGTTTTGGGGAACCATCCCCTCCACACGCAGGGTCACATTTCCTGTCTGACCCACCTGCTGCAGGTGAAACCCAATTAACCCAATTAAGGGCCTCACGCTGTTCTAAACACCACAAGCAGCTCTGCTGGCTCTTTGCCTGGAGAGAGGGGTGTGGTTGTGCTCAGGGTCAGAACTGGGAGTTCTGTTCCTGAAGGTATTTACCCTTAGGATGGGAATGCCGGGTAGTGTTGTGGTGGAACCACGCCTGTCTGATCAGTGAGTTTTCTCTAAGCCAGCTCTAATTGTCTTATCTAGAGCAGGATCTTTCCCTCCTCACTTCCAGGGGTATTTTTAGACTAGTTGGTAAGTCAGTGCTATGCCAGGACCCCAGAAAAGCTCTTGGCTTGGAAAGCCTCGAGGGAAGGGGGATGGGATCTGCCTTATGAAGGGCTGACAGTTCTGCTGAGGTGCCTGGATCTATTCCATACTAATGAGAGTTTCTGATCTGACTGAACTGCAACTTTGCTTAACTGCTGTCCTCTTTTGAAAACCTATGTGTTAAATTACAGAGAGACAATAGTTCCTAAAAGGCACTCCCCTAACCTTAGTTTCTTCACTAAATTGGATGAATCCAGTGAAATGTCTCTGAGAAACAAATCTTTTCTAAGCCTGTACTCTATTCTTCTTAACCTCTCTGCCCTAAACAATTTCTGAGACAAGATGAATGCCAGCCTGTGATGATCATTGTACATATATTCCACTTAAGCATTCACTTGGCTGATAGCCTGGAATAAGTCACTGTTGGGGGTTAAACAACTTCTGGGGCTATAGATGGGACCTCATTATGCAAAATGAGGAGAGTTATCATCGCTGGAAGCAGCTGTGCTCACTCCACAGAAAGTACCAGAACTGAGGTTACCTGCTGCTGGAACCTCTCAGCTGAAATCTGAAACAAGCGGGGTGACCTCTCTCCCACGGGGACCTTCCACACTTTGCCTTGGTTTTGCTAATTTAGGATACCATTTTCTGCTAGGAAACGCAGGAAAGGAAGGTTTCCACTCCCTGCAAGGATTATGTCGTTGCCTTGAGATGCTTTGAATTACAAATGCTGCCTTAAATCTGGTTGGGCCTAAGGCACTGCTGAGAGCCACACCAAGGCTTTGACAAACCTTTCAAATCAGAGGCTTCCCATTTGAATTTCAGATGTGCCCAAGGCTCTGGAGCACCAGAAGGCAGCGCATCAACACGTGAGGTGAATGAGCCTGCCTTTGTACTTCTCTGGGATAACCAGCATGGCTGTTTCCCTAGGAGTGTGTTCCCAAAGTGAGCTCCACCTCCCAGTGTACTCTCCATTACCTGGTATAATTGAACCAGCTTTGGAAACTCCCATCTCTTTTAGGAGTGTTCTGAACTGAAACTTTCTTTGGTTTCAGGATCCAGGGCTTTAGCAGACCCTGCTATGGGCTGTCAACAAAGACTTGGCTGGGAAATAACAGAACCAAGAAAATCAACAAAAAGCAGTTGTTCTATTAATTTATTAAATAATCTTACTAGATTTTTTTTTCTGATAAGAAGTTCCTTTCCAAAGGCAGATAAAAAGTGTGCCTAGCCAAGTTCATCCTCAAGTGGGACTGGGAGAGAAATCTGGGTAGTTGGTTTGGACTTCCACAGTGAGGGGGAGCTGCTTTGTCATGTTCCAAGAACCAAAAAATGATTAAAGATTCTAAACTTTTATGCTGCATATTTAAGTGTCTGTGTCCTAGAAAAATCACTAAACCAAGTAATTTCTTTTTGCACCCATTTGGAATGCTGAGGTCTACAGGCTGGATTTTGAAATCTCAGTGAAATGCATAAAGTCAGCTTAGATTAAGAATTTAACTCACCTGCACTGCGAGCTTAGAGTTGGCTGGGATGAATAATGAAATGATGGGATCACTCTTCCCACACAACAAGTGACACTCTCATGTCTGTGCTTGGAATTCAAAGTGGAATGGGAAACTTTGGAAAAGGAAAAAAGGAAACTTTTTTAGCTGAGCTTTGGTCTGCTCTGACTCTCTGCATTTCTCTGTGAGCTGTCTTCCTTCTGAATTAATTTGAATTCCCAGCAGATCTCCAAGCTGGTGGAGTTGTGGCATCTTGGGCTTGCTTTCAGATATCCACATGTTGGATTTAGTAATTTTCTGACCCAGAGATGGGGCAACTGAGAGGTGTTTTAAAAACTTTTATTCTATTTTCAGTCTCATGTGAAGGGTGAGACAATACAGATGTTATAATTCACACTATCACAATCAAAAGCTATTTTTAAATTACCATACATTATAAGCATTTCTTGGCCTGTCAGCTTTAGCCACACCATGCTGTAGATGCCTTAAACCAATGATCTAAAGTTACCCCTCGTGGGTCCCACTACAGTGCCTCTTTCACAGTTCTATTTCGCCAAAGTATCCAGTCTGATTTGCAAGGCCATCCTTTGAAACTCGTTTCTAGCTCCATTTCTCTCTCTCCCACGTTGTGGTTACTGTGTTGGGCAGCTCCATCCCCCTCTGCATGCAGAGTGAGCCCTGAAAAGCCATCGACCAAATGCTTCCAAACACTGCCAGGCTCTCTCAGGACTGGCGTGGAGCAGAATGTCACTGTGTGCTCAGGGCTCTGCTCATAAACATGCTGAACTGTGTGCTGGAAATGGAGGATTCATTCTCTGATGGATTGCTCGCTCCCTGCATGTAAATAGAGACGTGGAGGGTGCTGCCAGGACCCTCCAAAGGCTTGGGTAATTTCAGGGATCTTTCCCTACAAATCCTGAGACTCTCCTGCAGATGGAGTGGCTGCCAGGGCTGTTCTGTTTTCCAGCCCCAATGGGATCCTTCTCCAAGTCCTCCTCAGCCTGTCCTTGCTTCAGGGCAAAACCCTGTTAGATCAAGGTGTCCTTTACCCTTTCAGGACCCTACAGAGGTTGCTATCCTGCTTCTCACCTGTCCCTGGAGCTGCTGCATAACTGAAATCATCAATTGTTCTTGCAAACTGTTCCCCCATTTCACTTTAATACTTCAAAGAATTACTGGGCCTCGTAATATTGATCTATTCACTTCCTATCCTTTTACAGCTGCCTATATAATTTCTGATCCTTAAATCTGACAACTGTGTCCCCAAGATGACTGTTCTTAACGTTTAAATGATTGCTACCTTCCATCAAAACAATCTAGCATTAAAACTGGAAATACAGTGCAAAAGCAATAAAATAGTGTGTCTATGGATTAATTTCTGACTACCCTCTCAGTATAAAACCAATGTCTGGAATATAACTTGATTTTAAACTAAAAGTAGATCAAAGCTCTCTAAGCAC